GGCACGGCCGCCAGCAGCGGGATACCTCGCCCCGCGCGCCGTTGTCCTCCCGTTCTGCCCGGTGTGCCGGGGAGTGCTGGGTGTCTGCTGCAAACCTGCCCCGCACGCAGCCAGGGGCAGCTCACGCGAATACTGGGACGAATACTGACAGCATTTTTTTATCATCACCGTGCCCCCATATCCAAAGGGGCACGGGAAATGATGCCCAAATGGGAAGTTTCAGAAGGAAACCAAAGGACCCTGCTGCTGTCCAGCCCTTCCCAGCTCACCATATTGACCCTCCTCTTTCCATGGATGGGGAAACTGAGGCACGGAGTAGTGACACGACGTTGGTCACCAACGCCAGGCTCCAGCCTCTCATCCTGGCTCGTCACCCCCAGACCCCGCTCACTCTCTGTTAACCCAGACGTCACCCTGCTGCACGCTGACATCCGCTCGCCGCTCTGCTTTCGCTTCCTTTCAAGGCAGGGAAGCACCGGGACAGCACCCGCCCCTCACCACCTCCCCGTTTATGAGCTTCTGGGTTTTTTATCCTTTAAGGCAAACATTAAATTTGACCGCGCGGGGGCGGGCCGGGGGGGCCGGTGGGTGGCCCCGAGCCCGAGCGGGGTGTGCGGGCGGGGCTGCCTGCCAGGAGGCTGCCTCTTTCTCCCTGCAAGCGTTTTACAGCCCCGCCAGCACAAAGGCGGCTGCCGCTGTTGGGTGCTCACACGATCAGACCGTTGTTGGGTTTTTTCTGCATCTGTGTGTCACTTAGAAATGTTTTTTTTCTAGAAGATCTGTTCTCCTCCCCTCCACCCCCAACGTGAAAAGGGAATCTGTGCTCAAAGCTGCAGCTGAGATGGCAGATAGACCGTTCCCTTCCTGATCCTTATCTCACCAGGATGTAGGAGGATCCTTGGGGAATAGCTGGAAGCCTTTCGCTGGAGCCATCCAAGAAGCGAGCAAGCTGACTACAGCCTGTAAATGGGAAAGCCATCAAGTGCTCGGGAGCCAGGATCCCAAATGCTGCTTAACCCCCTCAAACTACGACGTCCCTGCACTCTGTGGCACGGGAGCTGCCCCGGTGCTGAGCCCAGCCCGCCCCGGGCACGGGCTCCTCCTTGAGCTTCCTTCCCTGCAGAGCCCTGCGGGCACCGCCGCGTCAGCTCAACAACGTGATCTAAAAATACACCTTCGAATCCTCATCTAAACCAAAGCCTTCAGCTGTTGGCTCACAAACCTACTCCAGCCGCAAGCTGCTCACAGGCGGGGGGGTTTTCGGGGGCGGGAAACACCGGAGGGGTGCTGCGAGTGCTCCGGGGGTGGCCCCAGCTCCAGGAGCCCCACGTCACCCACCCCAGCATCACCCTCCCACTTCTCCAGAGCAGACAGCCGAGATGTCTGACAGACTCTCTGCCTTTGCTCGATGGCCGATGCCCACCTCATATCATGGAGGAATGGAAAAATGAATCCCGGACCCCCACGCAGCCAAGCCTGACCCTTCTTCCTCGCAGTCCCTCCTGCTGCCAGCTTTATTGGCCTGCACAAGGCAGCCCGCTTCAAATCACAACTGGTTTTATAAAAAAACATTAGTCTATGTGGCAGCAAAGGCATCCAAATACTCCAACCCCACGGACGCAGTGAGCAGCAGGACTGTGTTCTGGCAGCATACACCCACACGTACACGCAGGCGCGCACAGAGAGCGCAGCCCGCGGCAGAGGTGAGCGGAGGATGGGTAGCAGCGATGTGCGCAGCTCTGCTGCCGGAGCTCAGCCCTGTGTTCCCTCCAGCCTCTCGGCAGGGGCGACACCGGGGCTCCCCACAGGAGGGCTGGAGTAAAGGGGGAAGCCCGTCGGTGGGGGTCTGGGGGTGCGTGCCTGTCAGTAGACAGCGAGGGGAGAGTTCATTTCCACAGCAAAACACTCCCTGATCCCACGCTCCGGCCCCATTTGGCTCCTCTGGGCAGGGAGTGTTTAACCACTTTGCAAGCCACAAAAAACCTCCAGCCCAGTGTTTCCTGATGCTGGGGCTGAAGGAGGGCGGTGGGAGAGGAGGCAAGGACCCATGGAAGGAGGATGTGGGAATTGGGGGGGGTACAAGGACACGACAACCGTACCCAGAGCCCCCCGGGACATCCCTGGGCTGGGGGCAAAGCCGCACTCGTACCAGGCAGAGGCAGCAGAAGGGCAGAGGTTTGTCCCCCATTGGTGACAGTGGAGTCGCAGCAGCCCAGCAGTGTGGTTCTTTCATATTCAGGACAGGAAACAGATGCTGCCTGGCAGAGGAAGCACCTGAAGAACATCAGTGCACCTCGTGCCTTCCCAGCAGGAACCTGGTGGGAACAGGAGGTACTGGGCAGAAACGCCCCGATTCAGCCCCCGTCAGGGCAGGTGCAGCTCAGCTGGGTTCAATGGCATCACTCTCAGCTGCACCAGCAGGGATGGGGACCCAAAGGGCATTTTTCCTTCAGGTCTTTGATTTCTCCTTAGAAGCACGGGGATCCGAGGCAACGAAAGCTCGGAGCAGGCGGGTGCCTGCCGGGAGGGCGACGGTCCCCTCCTCTCGCCGTAACACTGCAGACCCCCTTGTGCAATCGGACCGGAGGGTCACGAAATGAGACGACGAAGCATTTTTCACCTCACCGACAGCCCAGGAAACGCGGGCTCGCTGTACCACGCTGTCTGGTACGAAGCTGGGCCCCCTCCCTCTGCTCAGCGGCAGGCTTCCCCTCCCGGCTCGCACACCTACGCGGGTTTACTGAAGACGGATGTTTTTCTGAACCCGTCTCCAGTCCACAGCTGCTGAAAAAGGACAGACAAAAAGAAACCCAAGAGCCTGTGCCTGGTAGGACCAGCAGCGTCGTGGGCATCTTTCAGACAGAGACAGTGTCCCCATGCGTCTGCCTTTTAAGAAAAAGCTCTGGGAAGTTCTAACGCTATAAAATTTTGTGGGCTGGTGCAAACAAAACCTCGCACAAAGGCCACTTGTTTTCCTTCTGTTCCAAAGCACCTTTCCACGAGTGGGTGCTGCTGCCCCGCTGAGCCGGGTCAGAGCATTTTCAGACCCTGAAGCCTCCTCCTCCCAGCAGCCAGCCCCCGAGCCCCCCCGGCCTGGCTCCTCTCGCCTGCGCTGTGCTGTGCCGCTCTGCGTGCAACCAGAAATCTGGCAGCCAGGGTCTGGCGTCCCGTCGCATCCTGCAGTACCTTAGTGCTTACAGAGAGGTTGGCTCTGTGGCACCGTGCCAGAGCAGCTCTTTGTGGCTCCATCATTTTGAGAAACGGTTTCCTTAACTAGAGCTGAAAAGGCAAAGCAAATACTCGTAAAGGAGGAGCCGTTAGCAGGGGCGAAAGCAGCACTGAAGGGTCACGTCGGCTCTGCTGTCAACCTGCTGGAGTCGGCCGTGCCCCTGGGCTGCCCGCAGCTTGCTGAGCTCGGGCTTAGTTTTGTCCACATGATGTAGAACATCTCAGTGCAGAGGGCACACATGATGAGCCAGGGAAGGAGGATCCAGGTGAAGAAGCTGAAATACACCACATAATCCATTCTCATCACAGCCAAATACTGACACTCGATGTAGCTGGCACTGCCTGTGCACTGGTTCCAGCCCAGCATGGGGTCCAGCCCCACCAGCATGGACACAAGCCAGCAGAGTCCCAGAATCACACAAACCCTTTTCTTCGTGATGGCTGCCCTGTACCTGGGTGGGCAGGAAGCATCAGCCGTGTTAGATGCAATTCTTCGGAAAAAAAGAACTACAATATTCAGGAACTTGGGCTTTTAAGCACTCATTTCTGGTTGGCCTCATTCGAGTTAAGCACAGTTGCGTGCAGTTGGTCCTTAACAGCTTCCGACATTTAAAATGTATTTTGAAGCTACAGGAGAACCTCCAAACGGTCACCTATCCCTTTCCAATGAGAACCCACAGGTGCAGGGTCAAATCCTCTCCTCAGACATACCGGTTTGTTTTGACCTGCATCAGTAGAGCAGTATGGTTGTCTCTCGGGGGAAAACCTAAGGACCACCGCCTTATTCAGACTTTAAGCATATACACATTTATGAGCAACCCTTCCCTAACTCTCTGTAACTTCAGATTTTCAGGCATTGCTGAATCTCCAGGAGTGCCCAGACTGCTGGACATTGCCTACACTTTGGGAACCTCTGCCTTTGTGCGAGTTTCTCAGAGAACCAGTGACGCCCAGGAAGCCCTACGATGCTGCAAACAAGGGAGAAGGGAAATATAAGGGAGGAGAGAAACGGGGAAAAAAATGACGAGATGGGACCTTTGCCCAGACTCACCTGGTCGGCAGCTTCACTCGCAGGTACCTGTCAACTGCGACGGCCAGGAGAGTCAGGATCAAGGCACGAGAAAAGATCATCAGTCAGCATATGAGCAGGCAGCAGTAGAAATGGATGACGACTCCCAGGCTCACCATGACAGCCAGCGGCATGACAAGGGTCCCCATGGCACGGCCAGCGAGGGCCAGGGAAACGATGTAAAAGAAGGTGGTCTTCTGCAGAGCTGGGTTCAGCTTCACTGTGCAGATCATCAAGGCATTGCCCACCACCACACATATCCCAACAACAGCCTCCATCATGATACAGATCACATCCAGACTGCCTGCTGACATTGTAGACATCTGAGGCTGGTCACATCCAAAATTAAGACAAGCTGTGCTGAAATCTCTTTTTTCCTCCAACAGCCAGGTCAGCAGATGTCTCTTGCCTGATCTGCCTTAATTTAAGTCCCTCATTCAGAATTTTGCACGCTGACCTGCATACACAACGCTTTAAAGATGGGCTGAGCAAATTGTCCATGAAGATCTATTTATCAGACCTTCCATAACAAACCCTGCGATATCTTTCTTTCTGTCTGTTTGAGATTTCAGCACATTTACGTAGGCTTTCGTAGAAGAATCAGCATTGTTTAGGGGCAGCATCAGACTGTGAACAAGCCACGGGCACTACCTGTTGGAGGTGGTAATTTTGCTGGTCTGTTCTGTCCTCAAAGGCACGATCTCCCCCCCAGCTGGGTGCTCTGTACTGCCCAGCAGGGTGAGTTAGCTAACGCACAGCTCTACAGCACTGCAGCTAGATCGCTCTGTCTCCGAGCTTCTAAAGCCTGCTCAGTCTGCACTGCATGCAGTGGAGGTGCAGCATCAGGGAAAACAGGGCCAAGGGACCCGGAGTGACCCAGCCCATTCCACTGCCACAAAGAAGGGGTGGGGAGGGCAAATACGAAGGTGCTCAGCTGGATTCCGGGTGAGCAAAAGGCAAACGGAGGGAGAAACATTTCCTTTTGACGCCATTACACAAGCTGCTCCCCTAGGGTCCCACACAGCACCAAGTTCTTGTTCTCAGGAGCTACCTTTAGAGCAGGCACCGGGCAGTGAAGGAGGGCGGGCCCGGTTAGAGCCCTGTAACTCAGCGTTGCAGAGCTGCAGCCCCAGGGGTGGGTGACAGAGGAAGCTGGCAGCTGAGGCCAAGAGAGCAGACGCTCGGCGAGCGCAGGAAGCGGGGAGCACCCTCACCCCTGCATGGCTGGCAGCCAGGAGGACACAGACCCTTCCCATGTCTGCTCGCAGCTGCAAAGCGCCAGCTGCCCACTCCTTCCCAGGTACTTCCCAGAGAAGCAACTCATTCAGCTTCCAAAAGCCCAGCGTCCATCCCAGCTGTGACCTGCACATGCCTCTCCGGGGCTTTCTCTCCTGCACCCACAGATATCCTGTGTCAGATTTGATTAGAAAACCAGCACAGCCAAGTTGAGTTGCAGACGGGGACTGTCTATAGGCAGCTCACCATTTCCCCAGCAGTAATTCTACCAAAAAAACCCTCCAGCCAGGGAGCAAGAAGCACTTACACCAATTTCAAGGAAGCGGAATTTGCCCAACTCTTTCGACAGCAGAGAACAAAAGTGTCACTTATTTCTGGCTCTGTCTCTTCCCAGGGCTGATTTCACTTCCCCATCCTCAGGTTTGCCAGAAAGTTGGGTGGAAGAGATGGCAGGCTCAGCACCTGGGAAACCAAATACCACCCGTGTTGGCTTAGGGCTCTGTTACACCAGTACAGCACCATCCACCTAACGGTTTATTTGCTCATTCCTGGAGAGCGTGCATTGCTGTTTGCCCAAGAGCCAGGTTACCCTGCAACTCGCAGGCCGACACGAGCTCACGCGTTTGCATCGCTTCTCGGTTTCGTCTGAAACGGGAGCAGCTCCTCCACTGCAGACCCCCCTCAAGGAGCAAGGCACCACGCGCTGCCAGGCTCCCTCGCAGCAAGCAGATCGCAGCTTTCGCACCCTCTTCCCGCTACTTCCCATCAATTCCCACACCGTTCCTCAGTTTCTCCATCTTCCAAAAACAAAGCAAAGGAAAGTATGCCGCTTTCTGAACTTGACTTGGTTGGTCATCATACTGATTTCTGGCAGAAATGAGGGCTCTTGCTGAAATCGTCACCTACATTATGAGTGTTCTTGTCAGACTGAGAAAGGTCCAAGTAAAGAGCATTTTTCAGCCATCTCAGGGCTTTACCAAAATGCTATACCCTGAATTAAATCAAGTATTGGAATTTAAAGAAATGCCCTTGTAATGTCCCCTGAACAGCCTCATTTGCTATAGTGACTACAGAGCGATTATCTAGACTGATAAGTGGCAGCTTTGCGCAGTCAACTCTGGTCACAGTTCTCCCACGTCTAAAACCGTGGCTTGGAAGAGGAAGCAGTTCAAGTTGTTGTTTTTAGGTTGCTGGTAAGCAGGCTTGTGGAAGCTTTTCCCTTTTTTTGCTTCAAACTAGCTTTCCAAAGTACTTGACTGATACCAAGCTGCTGAAGGGATGCTGTGAGCTTCAGGAGTCGCGTCCAGAGGGGGGAACATTTCCTAGATGCGAAGGTATTTGCAGCTCTGTGGAAAGGCAACAGCTGATTTGCTGCCCGAGCGCCGAGGATGTGAAATACTGGAAGAGGTTTGCACATCGGAGAATCACTGGAACAACTGAGCACCAAACACCGAGGACGAATCCCACACACGGTCATCGATGCCCATGCTCCCTTCTGCAGCTCAGGCCAGGGTGGGAGCATCTCCAGCAAGTCACCATGCCAAACGACAGCCTGGTGCTGAGCAGCCTGGACGGGATTTACATCGGCACCGAGTGCCTGGTTGCTTTGTTTGCCACTTTGGGTAACATCCTGGTCATCTGGGTGGTGAAGCTGAACTCAGTGTTTCAGAACACGACTCTGTACTTCATCGTTTCCCTGGCGCTGGCTGATATTGCAGTGGGGATCCTCGTCATGCCGCTGGCCATCGTGGTGAGCCTGGGCATCAGTGTCCACTTCCACACCTGCCTGTTCATGTGCTGCCTGATGGTGGTTTTCACAAACGCCTCCGTGCTCTCCCTCCTGGCCATCGCGATCGACAGGTACCTGCGAGTGAAGCTGCCGACCAGGTGAGCGCTGGACCACCACGGGCCCCTCCGCTCGCCCCACTCCGGCCAGCTTTCCCACGCCCAGCCCCTGCCCCAGGCATGCCACCCTCCTCTGTCTCCTTGAATTCGCCCCTTTTCTAACAAATATTTACTCTAAATGCATGCTTGCGCATGGAGGAAGTGCCTGTGCCTAAAAGCCCACCGAGACGAGGTATCTAGAGCAGGAACCCCCCTCTGCAGTTCGTAACGCAGCGTGGACAGACCCCGGGGCGTTCATGCAGGGCCGATAGCTCGGTGTTACTGCTGATCAGAATTTGGCCACAGGATGGGTCTGTGGTCAAACGGGTGAATTCTTCAGATGTTTTTTCAGTTGCACAGGATGCTGAGAGTACTATAGATTTCTTTGGGTTTTTGAGGCTAGTTTTTAATATAAAATTCATTTTAGCATTTGTTGAACAGAATTGCTAGGGGCTAACTTCAGAAGTCACTCGCTTTTTATATTTGAATGGAAAAATACATAACACAGAAATGCAAGGCAAAACCTCAAGCATGAAAGAAGTCATTTTTTTGTGGGGAAAGGACCTACAAAATTGAAGAGTGAAAGAACAGTTTGGTCCTGCAAAAGGCATAAACCAAAGGTAAAGAGTACAAGGAATTGGCGGAGAGATAATATAGAACTGCTAATAGTAGAAAAACAGTATTTAGGCAAGAGGAGCACTACGATCATAATGAAACAAGAAACAAAATAGTTGAAAACATCCAATTATAAAGAGGGGAAGTTAAGAATAGTTCATCTTATGGGTGCTGCAAAGTAACAGTTAGGGCTTCTCTCAAGATAAGATTTGGTCGCCCCCCCGAAAGAAACTAATGCTCCATCTCCTGACAATGAACCTGCAGTATCTGAACATGCGAGCCCTTGAAAAGACCCTTAACTATTTTCAACACTTCTCTTTAACATGGCCTGGGTTTTCTTCCCCAACAGATACAAAATCATCACTACAGAGAGAAGAGTTTGGTGGGCGCTGGGTTTGTGCTGGTCTGTGTCCCTGCTGGTAGGGTTAGTCCCCATGTTTGGATGGAACAAGAGAGAACCAAGAAACTCCGAGTTTCTCAGGTGTCGATTCACCTCTGTGATGAGGATGGATTACATGGTGTACTTTGGCTTCTTTCTATGGACCCTTGTCCCTCTGCTCATCATGTGTGCTCTGTATGTTGAAATCTTTTACATCATCCGGACGAAGCTAAGCCAAGGTACAACCACCGTGAGAGGGGCAGGAGCATTTTATGGACAGGAGTTCAAAACAGCCAAATCTCTCGCACTTGTTCTCTTCCTGTTTGCCATATCCTGGTTGCCTCTGTGCATTCTAAACTGTGTTTCCTATTTTTACCCTGAGGGTGACATCCCCCAGTCTTTGATGTATTTGGGAATTCTGTTATCCCATGCCAATTCTGCCATGAACCCCATTGTCTATGCTTGCAAGATAAAAAAGTTCAAAACCACGTACCTTTTCATTTTAAGGACCTATATCCTGTGCAAAAAAACAGACCCAGTTCTTACACAGCCAACAACAGACTAACAGTCATAAATCAAGAATGAATGTTGACCTGCCAGTATATAGCAGAGCACTGATAAGCCACTTTCCTTCATTAAGAAACACATGGGAAAATGTGCCTTCTGTCTCATCTACTCCTGCTCCTGCATAAACTGTTTTATGACAAGGGCAAGCTCCTCTTAGTCTGATCCACACTTGACATTAAGCTCCGAAGGATCACTTATGATCACCCGCGTTACTGTACCCCAGAGAATTCTGCTTGATGGTTGCTGTACCAAGCCCAGATCTTCCAGGCAAGTGTCTTCATTCAACAGGACGTTCCAGTTTTTATTTCTTGCCTTGAAGATATTTAGCAGGCCAGTGACCCAAAGCACTCTCAAGGCAGGCTTTTTGCTCATCGTTCCCCAGCTCGGAGCCATGCACAGCTGGTGAAAACAGTGCTTGTTCATTTCGAGTTTTAACTCCAGACTAACTCTGTTATCATTCTGATTTCTATTGTTGCCCAGTTATAGGCCCTTTGCTTACAAACAGCCAGACTTGCCCCGACCTTTTTCTTGTCCAGTAGCACCTGTGCAATGTACCTGTAGCATCTCCTGTGAGACCTCCACCGGCAGATGAACAACTGCATTGTCCAGCTGCCCCCACCCGCTCTTGACCATCGCAGCCCCAAGGTCAGAAGCTGCACTGGCTTTGGTGATCCTCCTCCTCTTCGGGGGAGAGCCTGCCAGTGGGAGACTGTCATTGCTTTTGCATCAAGACAAGGCTCACCCCAGAAGCCTGCAAAAGCTGAACTCAGACACAGAGCACCAGGCGAGAGCTGAAAGGCTGAAGGCACTGAAGCTATTCACTAACAAGATATGCTGGGCACAGGAGGGCACGCCAGGAAGAGAAGACTGTCAAAAAATAAACTAATGATATATATTTAAGTTCTTTCCTCCTTCCCCAGCTCCTTAACCAAGGATAGAATCAACTATTTCTACACAATTCAAGGATGCGTTTTCCTAATTTTTGCCAAAAACCACCCATTTGGGGGATTCTTCCTGCACAGCACATTCCCATGCTTAATTCTCCCTACAATCACAAACCATTTTCCTAACACCAGATTTAAATGTAATTTGCTGCAAGTCTCCTCTGTGAACCTGATGAACAGTTGCTCTTTTTGTAGCAACCTGTTACAGATCTGAAGACTGTTCTAAAGGTGTTTAACTGTGTGTCTAGATATGTCTTTATATTAAATTGTTTCAAAATACAGAACAGATACATAAGACAAATTTTTTCCAGTGTTTTTTTTTTTTTTTTTTACATAAAGATTGGCTGGGTCCACTGAAGAATAGGATAAATGTGTTCTTTGTTGTTGGTAACACAGCAGTTCATAATCCAGGCATGTCCTCGCTGACTGTTCTTACACCCTTTGTCTTCTCTGTCAAGTTAGGCTATAGATGTGGGTCTCGTCAGCTTATGCTACAGTCAGCGTTGTCACATTTTCATTAATAACAATAATTATTAGATGGATTTTATATTAATTCAACCTGCTCTTCTCCCATGACAATCAAGAAAGCAGCCTGTATGAAATCTCCACACTGCTTTATTCTGTGTCCTGGATGGACGGCACAGAATCTGCAGTAAATACTACACCACAGCTCACATGGCCTGTTTTTAGGGAACATGGGTCAAACTGAAAATAGGCATTAAAGGCCAGGCTCTTTTCCTCCATTTTTAAATAATAAAAGAAGAAAAAGCAGAAAAACGAGTGCATCATTCTGTTATTTATGTCAGGAAGTGTTGGCATCTGCTCCTTTAGCTGAAACCAGACATCTCAATTTGTTATCTGATGTAACCCTTGTCACAGGCCAAAGCTACAGTCTAACACAGTCTAACTCTATTAGCAAACAGGCCACCAAAGGAAGTCGCTGCGTAAGTACACGAGAAATTTGTTACATGATCTCTCATTATCAGTTGATAGAACTGATTGCTTTCAGCAGAAAACCAGGTCCCACCTAAAGAGCAGAAAATTATTCATTTGAATGACACACAGCAAACTTTCCCCATGTATTTTGGAGAAATTGAGAAAAGAGGGAGTAGCACTGCACCAAATTCCTCGTAGGCTGCCTGACAAACTCCAAAAGAACAAGGCATAAGGATATGGGGAGAGAACAGAAACAGAGGGGACCGAGAGCAGGAGAAGCTGTCCTGCCCTCTGAAAGCAAGCTGTGAAGGAGAGCAGTCTCAGCAAGCTGGCTGACCCTGCTCAGCCCCCCAAGAGGGAACCCCCGGCGACAGCTCACCTTTCAGCGATGAAGCAAGATGCTCACCACAGCTGGAGCCAGCCTCTCCCTGTCAGGCAACCAGAGGAGCAGCTGCCCTGCTCCGGGAGAGGGTCTTCTGCCACGGTGGTGCTGGCTGGAAAATGTTCAGGCAGGTCAGACATAGGCTGAATAATCAGCAAAATCAAAATGGCTGAATAATGCTTAAACAGATGTGAAGATGAGGGAAGACACATACCAGCAGCCCACACATATACAAATACCACTCAAGGAGAGCAAAGGATTTAGCACGCTCCTGCGAGACGTCATCGCTGTAGCTCTAATAATCCATCCTTTTGACTTTGCAACCAGATAATGAATTCCAAAATGCCAGGGAATATCATTGGCCGCTACAGTCCATGCATCCTTCAAAGCACCATTTAACCCATGAGACATTTCCACCCACCCTCCCAGGGTTGGACAATTTGTAGAGAAACATCTCTAGCAGAAACGGACTGAAACGGTGAAAACGGGAAAGCCAGAAGAGCAAAACAGCGGACACACAACGCCTCTTCTATTCTGATTAGCAGATGCAGTTGTCCCCAGTTCCTCCAGCTGTTGATAAAACAAAGAGTTGGCTGATGGCTACCATTAGAGCTGCGTATGACCATGCAGAGCTCTTGGCATGGGGAAGAGAGACAAGAGGACGGCCTGGGACGCGTTATCAGCCATGAAACAAATGGAGGCTCTCTGTCACCCTCCACCTCCAAGGGCTGTACCACACTCGGCTCTGTCCTGTCCGTAGGCACACACTATTACTGCGCTTTGGCTGGCAACATTTCACAAAATACATGGAATGGTTGTGCCAAGTCCCAGTACAATTCACGGTGAAGAAACATCTACATGAAAACCAAACATCCTACCTGGTCTCGGCATGGGGGTGGAGGAGAAAGCCTGTGGTGAGTCACCGTTCCTTGCATTTCTAACACAGGATCCAACAGTATCCAACACAGGAAGGCAGCATTCTTGTCGGTATGGTGAAGTAACGTTTGTGCAAGCCAGGTAAGTTTTCAGACGTTCATTTCTCAGTTGCTCTCAGGCAGCAGACTAACATTGTTATTAATTTTATAAAACAACAAAAAAAAGTGAACCAACTACAATCATCCCTCATGAGCCTCTCAGCAGCTGCACATTTTGAGGAGCAATAGGTATTTTCTCTATTAAATAGCGCTTGAGGAAACTGCCATGACTGAGCTAGGAGCAGATACAGCAAAACAAAGACCACAAGTTCTACTCCCGACCCTGTAAAACAGTCAGCAGCCATGCCCAGCACCTCTCGAGCCAGATTTCAGAACGCAATGGTATTGGTGCATCTGCTCTTCAGTGGTCCCAAGGACTTCCCCCAGCTTCTGCAGTCACGAAGGCAGGACAGCCCAGCAGAGCTGGCAGAGGTGGAGCCACTGCCCTGCTCTTTGTTGGAAAGACACCAAACACACCACAGCTAAGCTGAGCCCACTCCAGCTGCCCATCCGCAGCTTCGGCACATCCAGCCTCACTCCTCTGCAGCCTCTCCATGTCAGTTGGCTGGCTGCAGCTCACCGCACAGCAGCCCGTAGGACCCGAGGCACTTGTCCTGCCTAAAAGATTCCTCTAGAGGGGCCTTTACAACAGCACGCACGCAATCAGCTTCATTTTCAGCAAAGATAAAATACTTGCAAGAATCTGATGCTCTCTGGTGACCAGAAACAAGGAGGTTCCTGAAGCCCAGAGGGCTGAGGCAGCAGGAGACTTTGCTCCAGTTTGGCCTTGCAGGAGAAGCACTGAACAACAGATGGAGATCGCTGCCCTTGCTTGGACAACACACCTCCCACCCGCGGGCACAGCAACACGCAGAGAAGCTTCTCGGTGGCTGCTAAGGCTGAGTCACGAGTGGTAACTTATTCCCCAGTGCATGAAAAGGGGATGATTTTTAACTTTTTACAATATACTTAGAACACCATGGGTAATGACACATGAACGAACATTTCCAGAAGTTTTGACTGTCACACTGTGATTATACATTTCTTTTATGTGGCCCAATCAGGAAAGAGACATTAGTATACAAACACTTCGCTATCATAACTTCAATAAGCAGAAAATAACTAATCAGAGCACTTGGCAATCAAAAACCAAGATAAATACTACCGTCTGTGGCAGAAAAGAGAAACTTCAGGGCACAGACGTGAATGGACGGAGAGTAATGATGCCATTTTTCAATTCTCTTTGGTCGCTCAAAGCAATAGCAAACACACAAATGGAAGCTTCAAAAGTACATTGTAAGGACTCATTAGGATTTCTACAGACAAGGAAATATGGTATAAAAAGCAATTTGTCCACAACCATTGGCAAGCAGTTTGGAATAGGAGACATTAGTTTCCCCTTGTAAAATGAACTGATGTTACATACGGCAGTGCTGGCATTTCTCCGAGCACTACAGGCCTTGCAGTAATGTTCTGGTAGCATTTGATGCTCAGAAAGTGCACGCATCTTCATTTCACTGGAAACTTCATCATCACACAGCCATTTGTCTCTGACTTTGCTGGAAGACCAGAGTGCTGTAGGCCACCTCATTCTGGGGATGTGAAAGAAGCCGCAAACATTAGAGAGCATGCAAGCATCGCATCCCAGCGCGAGTTTCCTGCTTTCAGTTTGCCCTCGACCCTGCAGACCACAAGCAGTCACAGTCTGTCCCCGCACGTGGGCAACCAGTAAGTGCTATGCTGGATCAGACCAGGTGTCAGT